TGAATGTATAACACCTATTCAAAGGTGATGTCAAGGGAAATTTCTTTTAGAATTTAGTGATAGCATTGTTCACTGTCTTACTTGGGCAGATGTTATTGGTGGCCATACTGAGTTCTATACCTGCCAGCATAACTGGCATCTGCCCAAGACTACACTCCAATCTCTGCACTGAACACAGTAAGCTGTTAAAGGTAGGGAACAGATGTCATATGGGTTAGTCATTCCACATATGAGCACATCTCCCCTTAGAAAATCTGAGCCTTTGTATACTACCACTCATGGGCCCTATACTATTTCCTGAAGGGCAGAAGAATGACCTCAACTCTCAGAGACATATGTTACCAAATAGTGCATTATTCACTAGCCCCCTTCTTTAATTTTTGGATTTTACTAACAGATTTTTCTAGAGTAACTTTCCAAATCAATCATTTGAACTTAAATCCTTGTCTCAGTGAAAATTTCTAGGGAAACTAATCTTATTTGGTACCAGTATTGGTAAATAGATGTTCAAAATGAGATTCCTGAAGAGACAAATTTACTAGACTCATGGCGATAAAAAGAAAGAGCCTTGGTGAAGGAGTATATAGTCTATAACTGGAGCCAAAAAGACTACTCAGGCACTTAGCATCATTACACTACAGATTCCAATGTAGTAGTCTGAGCATTATGTTAGTATAACAGGAATACAAGATCATTGAGAACTTTGAGGACAATAATAATTGTACTGCTAAGTGCTGAGAGGTCTTGAAATTCCACTGAAGAAAATAGTATCCTTGGTCTAGCCAAATGAGCTGTAAAGTTTAATGGACCAGTTCTCCTTTCTTATTGTGGTCAACATGTCCTAGATGAGAGGGATTTATAATGAGAATCTGAAGTATAAAAGTGTTAAGCAGCCACAGCACCTATCCAAATGTCAGGATGATACACAAGGAGGTGGAAGCGTGGTGCCCTTGAAGTCACTGTGCCCTCGGTTGCTGACATCTGTTTGTATAGATATAAACAATTCCCTTCTATTACACTGCAATGTAATCTCCATTCTTAGAGACAATAAAAGATGACATTTGCTCTCCTTATTTTCTCATCCCATCTTCCTTTCATGGCTCTAGGCAACAAAACGCCAAATTTCAATAGACACCACCTACAATAGTACAGTCCGTGCCAGGAAAACAAGAAAACAGAACATTGAACAAAGAATGACCAGGTCTGTTGAATATGAAGCAGTAGGAGCCAGGAATACACACAGGAAATGAATTTTGAGAGACCTTGAGGCAAAATGCACTTCACTGTAATTTTATACAGAGAAACAGATATCTCCTGGAATAAGCATATATATGTCTTTTTGTACAGGAGGAAGCCTCTTAAATGGTTGGCTTTAGAAGGAGAAATACTAGAAGACCTCTCTTAGGGAGAGTTGAAGAAGCTGAGGATAAGCTATGGGAAAATGAATGAATTGTGTAGAACTGTGTGTCACATCCATGTTCCTAGAGACAGTACATCCCCAGTTGACTTAGTAGATAGTGGGGTTCGGAGTAAAATGATTAATCCTCTGAAACTTCTGTCTCTGGTTATGACAGTGATTGTTGAATGGCCCTGTGAATGTAGCCAACAAATAGGAGAGGGAGACGGTATATACTTAGAATGAAGAGTACAGGCCCTTCGCACCTGTTTTGATATAGTTACTGCACATGGAAATGGCCAGCTCATTAGTACCAATTCAGTCTAGGGTCCCTCATACAATACCTCTCATGGAAAAGAGCACCAACTCACTGTAAAAACTTGTTATATGCTGCCTCTTTAGGAAAGGAGTAAAATTTGTTTCTCTTACTATTTGAGCTAAATTCAATCCCAAGTATTTAAACATAACACCTCAGTATTACTAACCTTCAGAGTTCATATACTGCTTGCCTTATCATGGGAATCTACTTACACAATCAAATGACGCTAACTAGTTTGTAATAAAACCCCGATAACAGATACATGTCTAAAGAATTTACAAGGCCTAACTTATGTTATCTCCCTAGACATTGGCTTGAATAAACCATTTACCTTTAACTATGCAGCTAAGGCTCCAGCATGAAGAAGACAATTTGATTAGTGATGCTGTTCTATGAATGTGTCAGGATTATATCAGTTCATGAAAAGCAATCCTGAGATTTTCACATATTGTTTAGGGCCAGCTGACCTTTTGCTAGTCACTTGAAATTTGCCACGGCATATTTGTACGATGAAAATCAGCAAAGACTACAACTCAAACCTTCACACTCACCTACAGGTTCAGCATTCAAAAAAAAGATACATTCATGTGGAATCCAAAGGTGAGGGAACATATCTCCTGTCACTATGACTCAAAGAAAATCACTCAAGAAGTGTTTACTTCCTGTTTCTATAGAGTATGTAGGAATATTCTGCATTTCATGTGTGCATGATGGAAATGAGAAAAATCTTTACAGTGGCCATTAAGAGTTTTGCTAAACCTAAATCTATATTTGCTCTCTGGAAATTTTGAGACCTGATTCCAAAGTACCAAGATTATAAAACAGATTGTCATTAAATTTAGTTCAATATAATAGAGGCAGAGAAGGCTGTGCACAAAATTATGGGATTCATTCAATGTTTTCATAAAGTGTAAATGGCTATGAATAGATAATCATAGGCCTATATTTGAATGGACATTGAATTCAAAGACCTCTGGTCAAAGTATGTAAGGCAATGTACCAATCAAGCTACTGATGCTGATAGAGGGTTGAGCAAAAATATAGGGAAATTGGAATGGGTGTCAGGGAACAAAAAGATAAATAGATTACAAAACACTATTGACTTTGATACTTCTTGGGGGTACAGCATGAAGATCCTTGTCCCCATAGATGTTCAGAGAAACCAGGAAAATTAAGCACACAGGATTCTTTCCAATGGAAAAGACGAAAAAACCTATTCTTCAATTCAGAAATCTGAGTATTGGAACTGATTAATAGCCCAATCTGCATTATCAGTTGGGCTGGGCCATATCAAGTTTGCACAACCAAGAACAGAGCCCAAAGGACCTCTAGTCTCTCTTTGTGACCAAGCCAGACCCTCAGGCCCTTAATCTAGTACAGGTAGCCTACCTCTTGAGCTTGTTTTTCTGGAAGACATGACATGTACCATGAGTTGAGTTACAATGTAATTACAATTCCTTGGGAACAGGGGACTGTATTACACAAAGGAACGGATTTTTTGTTTTGTTTCAGTTTTGTTTTTTTGTTTTCTTTCCAAATTATACTGGCTTAAATACATTGGGATTAAAAATCACCTCCCAGTAGACACCTCAATGTGAGACCCAGGTTGATCAAGTCAATCCGGAGCAGTTTTCATTCTTATGTCTTTGTGCAACTCACTTCCCTGTAGGACATAGATCCTGCATAAAACCTCAGACACTAACTTTAGGAGCTCTCCACCCTCTTATAAAATATTCTGTGTAACATCATCATCATCATCATCATCTTCATCATCTTCATCATCTATTATATTATAATTATTATTGTAATAAATATCAATCTTTATGATTGATTCATTGGCTAGGGTGTACACTGATCAGACCTCAACCTTCAGAATCCATAATGTTCCTGTTTCAGAACACCTGCTTGTTGCCCTATTCTGTTCATCTACACATAAGGGAGGCTGCTACCTAACACACTAGGTCTTTAAGGTTTGTAGCTTGGCAACTCTAAAAGGACTATTCCAGGAGGCTTCTAGAATTTTTCAATAAACTTGGCTTCCTTAAATTAAATTAAGACTATACAATTAGATTCTCCCTTTCTGAGCTTCAATTCTCACTGTTGAACTAGTGCTATTTCCTGTGATTTCCAAATAAGCTACTTCAACTCAGGACTAACGTTCAGCTTTTGGAAGAAGCCAAAGAAAACACTAACAGTATTAAATATTTTCTGGCCTTCAATCATTTTTATTATATATGACAAATCTCTTTCATTCTGCCAAGGATAACATTTTAAGCCATTCCAAAGTTTTTGCCATTTATAATACAAATGAAGCTGAATAACTATCTTTCCTATATCTTAATTGACATGGTCCTCTTGTCATGGTGTCTCAGCAAGAGTTTGAGAGGGTTCCTTCTAAATTTATTTAAACTATAGAATATCTGCAATTTATTCTCATTGAGAATTATACACCATGAGACATTATCCAGGAAGTCTATAGTAGGTTATATCTCCCTTATCTGTCATCAGCCAGGAATAGCTTAGTGATTTTTGTATTAGGGATAAGTCCTTACATTTTAGCATCACCATTCCAGCATCATTACAAGAAATAGGATTAGGGAGATTTCTGCTTTCCTCAATTCCAGGAAATCAGTTGTAGACTTTAACTTCATCCTACCCAGTGATTTTAGATGCAGATCCATTCTCATAGGTTCAATAAAAATCAGCATCTCCCATCTCCATAAATGAACCACTTCCCATGTGACATTTCATTTGCTAGAAAATTATCATGAAATTTGGTGCCTAAAATACATAGATTAAGATTAGGCATGGCACATCCTGGTCCATTTGCAGCAAGTTTAGTATTTCCTAGCTATAAGAAGGTCTAAGATGATTCCAAGCTCATTCTGTTGCCTTTTTATTTTCTTGTCTTAGGAAAAACTCAATGCAATAAAGTCAGATGTCCAGGCCATAAACGAGTATAACCAGCTAGAAGCAATTAACAGTTCAATCACGCTACTAGACACTACTGCATAAGATGTCCCAAAGGTGACTGTGTATGGAAGGGCTCACAGTCCCCATTTGGGTTTCTTTGAGGGAAGGAGAGGAATGCTTTTCATTCAGTATTCATATGTCAATGGTGGTAAATATTAAGGACATCAGAAAGGACAATATAGGCTAACTCAGTAAGGCAGCTTTTAGCACCCGACAATGCCTCAGCCCACCTAAAGGAAAAAACAACCCAGTATGTAATGATGTAGGGATACAGGCAGGCAGAATTCCAGAAGGAGCAGACATTGTACTCACTGAAGCTACGTTCACGAAATCATCATCGGAGAGGGTTTCTAACATCTCGGAGACAGATGTTCGGATGAGTTTCAGAGTTAATCCGCTCACGCTTCCACTCCTACAGACACACAAAGGGGTCCACGTGTCATTCGCCTGTCATTTATCAAACGGGATCATAAAGAATGAAAATGATCTCTTCAGCTTCTAGATTATAATATTGAATATAAAAATGTATTTCTGCCTTTAGAAAGTGGCCAGCCCTGTAGTCATACACACAAGTAACACAGAGACTGAGAAGTCTGTATTTACATATTTATGCATTTATGTATTTAGTAATACACACACACACACTGACACACACACATACACACACACACACACACAAACAGATCTCAAGAATTAAAGAAATAGAAGCCACACATTTGATAGAGAGAAAGTACTGTAGATAGGGAGAAGAAAGAGAAAGGTGGGAATGATATAATTATATTTTAATTTAAAAATTTATAAATAAACAAAAGCCATAGTCCAGAATTAGACAGTTGCACAACTGTTATGAGGTTTCTGGACAACTCTCCCACTCCAGATAAAAGCACTGTTCCTTCAGGATTTCTTGATCTTTCTTGTCTCTGTACCTCTCCTAATGTAGGGGTCGCTTACCGACAACCCCCACTCCTACATTACAGGTGCACACAGTATCTCACATGGCTTTAACTTGAAACAATGTAGGAAATTAATAAAACAACTAATATCTATACTTATAGAAACTGCTGTCATACATTGTGTGCCTTGAAAGGTTCTGGAAATAAAAGGTACCATATTTATCTATTGTGATTCAAATCCCTTATAGTCAATAGAATTGTTCCTAAGTTCCAACTAAGTCATCTTTCCTTTTTCTTTCTTATTTTATTTTCTCTTCTTTTCTTAGTAACAAGAACCATGAGTTTTATTAATTCTATACTGTAATGTTCTTCAAATTTGAAAATATAAAGGTTGCGTTTTAGAATAGTATCATAATTTTCCAGTTTGATAAAGATACAAATAAGCATTGTTTTCATTTTCAGTGAAATATTTTTTTTGTTTCGTTATTGTCTGTGTGTGCACATTTGCGTGTGTGTGTGTGTGTGTGTGTGTGTGTGTGTGTGTGTGTAGGTCAGAGGTCAATACCAAGTATCTGCCTCTATGGCTTTCTACCATATTCTTAAAAACTGGGGCCTGACAGTGATCCCATGACAAATGATCTCCTAGGTTGTCTAACCAGCATGCCCTAGGACTCTTCTTCTCCTACTATGCCCAGTTGGCATTACAAACACAATCACTGCTCCCTCATTATTTAATTTGTGTGTGTATGCTTGTGTGCGTGTGTGTGCGTGTGTGTGCGTGTGTGTGCGTGTGTGTGTGTGTGTGTGTGTGTGTGTGTGTGTGTGTAAAAGCCAGAGATATAAAGTCTGATCTTCTTCTTGTGCTTTGCTGACTGAGCCACTATCTTATTTGGCTTCTTTGGCTTCTTTTTCTGGATACACAATCATTATATTGATTTTTTGTTATTCTAATCTATCATACACTGCTAATTCCCAATAAACTACTATTTCCTACAAATGTCCCATGCACTACTCACACATCCACCAGAATAAGCATGTCCTTGGGGGATGCAGCTCCCTGGATGTACCTGAAACAGAACCACAGAAATATTTTCTTTTCTTCGGTGTCTAATATTGATATTTGCTGTATTCACATTTATAGATCTCTGAAATAAGATATAATTAAAACAAAGACACCATAGTAAACAATGCTCTTTTAAACATATTCTAAAATGTTATCTTGAAAAAGATATTTAAGATCATATTAGAGATGCCAACATTATAGCTTTTGAAAGCACAGTTCCCAGAGATTTATGGGAAAAAAGATAGAGATAAAATTTAATGTAAGCAGTGAATAAAATTAATTTCCAAAAGGATATTTTTTCTGAAGGAGAAACAATCCTAAATTCCAATTATTAACATTTTAATAGTAGTGGACAACAAACTATGGTATATTTAAAGACAAAAAATAAGCATCTAGGGGTGAGTAGTCAATAAACCGTAAGATAAAGCATCTTAAAAAGAAACATAACAGGCCAGTTAAGTAACTGAAATGAGGCAATGGATAGGATTATTACCAGGAATTTGAAGCAGAAACTCTCAAAGCTTTATGGTGTCCAAGAATCACCCAAAGAAACAGTTTAAATGTTAATTCTAAAATCTGACCACATCTCTGACTCTTCTACATTTGAAATACACACTTGGGGAGGTTTAGGCAGGAAGGTAAGTGCTTATGGAGAGATAAACTTGATGGCAGCAGAGTGATTTAAAAAAAAGAAAAGAAAAAAATAAAGGAACAAAAAGAAAATACATACTGTTGGCCAGAGACTGGGGGCAGGGCGGGGGGGGGGGGGGGGGGGGGGAGGACATAAAAATGAAAGGGCTCAGGCTTCTGCCCTCCAGATCTGGAAGGGCTGCTTCTGACTCAACTGATCTAGCAACGGACAGAGAGCAAGCCAATTCATTTTCAACATTTTGGAGCACAGCTGCTACAACTTGGGGTTATTTGTAGAGTGGGCACTCCAGTGCATTGCCTGCAACACACTCCACTGGCTGTATTCAGATCAACAGGCAAAGCTCCACTGTTCGCCCTTGGAAGACAATCCAGCTCATGTCTAGCATCTTAATACCATGGTTTTGGTGTGCATCTTAGTGAGAAGAGTAGAAGATTAGCATAGTGTCTGCTTCAGATAATTGATACCTCACTCCTACAGTTCCCACAAAATAAGCATTTCTTAAGTACAACTATGTTATAATATAATATTTGCTCCCATTAAATAACAGGCTAGAAAACCATTATTAATATTATTAATAATCGTAATATTAGTAACTATCACTCAAGGTTTTGTTCATGTAAATAGCTATTAAATACTAAGCCGGACACTTGAAAGCCATAAATAAGCATTCTTTCGACCACCAGTATGCTGTGCAGAATTTGTGTGACCATATCAGGAAGTTGGAAGCAATGCAAAAACACAATAATAGGGACTTCCTTAAGTAAGTGAGCATATAGCATTTATTAAAATGATTCTAAGATTCCTTTTCATTACTACATACTCAAAAATTAATAGGAAAAGAGAAGAGTACAAAGCACCATGCCATATATGTGAACTCATTAAAAAATGGTATATTTACAATTTAAATGTAATTTTTATACACTTAAAATCCAATCAAAATAAAAATACATGAAGTTTCATAGTTGTCTCCCAGAGAGTCCAAACATATATTGTTGATATTTTCTTGTGTTTTTTTATTAGGATGATGAATTACTTTAATAGTGTCAAACAAATAAAACTCCTTTGGGGAAAAATAATAAAACCTAAACTTTATGGAAGTATCTAGGCAACACTGTTAGCTTAGGGCCAGTTCCCATTAGTTCACTGCCAGAGGCAAGTTGTCTCTGACTCGTGCCATCTGAGGGCTTTTCCCCAAGCAGAGTAGTTGCTCCTTGAACGAAAGCCCCTCCAGCTAAAAGAGACGGAAAGCTTAAATTGAACAGAAGGCTTACAGCGATTCATTTGAAATGAGTCTGAAAATCATTTCAACAGTATTCACAGTGATTTCCTTCTCGAATACATCATTTTCATTGGTCATTAATTGTTTTTGTATTTTGAAAGTACCACAGCATTCTATATAAGAGAGCACCCATCCCAGTTAGGGGGAGTTTCTCCTCAACATATTCACAAATTATAGAACCCCCATGTATTGATCATGTCTTTAGAGATAGTCAAAACTTCATACCATGGTCTTCTGCGTACATCGTACAGATCAATCTTGTTTGGAGTTCTACTGTTATCCACCCATGGAGAAGCTGAAAAACAAAGAATGTCAAGGAAACTAAGCCAAAATGCTCAGTATGACTGGGCTTAGGCGATGCCTTAGTGAGTTTAGGTACTCAAACCAAGACTGAGAAGTCTTGTTTCATCTCTAGAACACACCTGGTAGAAGGAGAGAATTGGCGCTTGAGAGCTGTTCTCTGACTTTCATGTGCATGCCATGGCATGAGTATTACAACCGCCTCTCAACAATAAGAGCTATTTACAAAACTAATAGGCAACTTAAAATAACAGAATAAAAAATAAATGAAATTCCATGTACCTATATGAATGTCAAATATAAAATGACATCTTTATATCATTTTTTACAGTTAAAAAGTAACACAGCAGTACAAAAGAAAACCCACACAAGCCAATTCCCTTACCCACATTGTTGTCTGAACAAGCTCCAGACACAGGGAGAAAACCAACACAAGCCGATTCCCTTACCCATATTGTTGTTCGAACAAGCTCCAGATACAGGGGTTTGGTTGAAGCTGACTTAGATGCTTTCCTTTGACAGAAAATGTGGTTGCAGCTAGTGAATGTGGTGCTTTCAATTAATTGCTCATCCTGTTTTCAGTCAATGCAAACTATATACAACACTATACACAGGACTGTTTTTCCCCAGGCATGATGGCGCTTGCCTTTGATCCCAGCACTTGGAAGGCAGAGGCTCTATGACTTCAAAGTCAGACTGGTCTATTGGGAATTGAGGTTAGCCAAGGCTAAAATTTTTCTCTCACAAAACTACTGTTTATCTTGTACTTCTATTACAACGCAGCATAGTCACATGTTTAAGAAATTATTGTTTAGTGTTATTGAAATAACGTGTCAATTATCATTCCAAATGGACTACTTTAAATTTTATATTAAGTTTTAAATTGAAATTATAGATAAAAAATTAAACTACAGTAAAGTTAACTCGAATTCTCTTTTCTATAGAACTCATGTCACTGCAGATCCTTGGTGGCTTGGTGCAGCCTTCATTCCTCACTAGAGAAACTTCTTTTATAGAGGACAGACTCTTTTTTATAGAGACCCACAACTAGCAAGGAATAAATGATGGTGAAGTTCCAAGCCCCTAAGTCTCTATCTTTGTCACACTGCCACCAGCTAATGCTCAAGGAACATCACTGAAGAGGTGTTGCATAGACTGTAAGAGCTAGAGACTGGGACGGCTGCTGTCAAAGAGCATCTTCCACAAGTGACAAGGCTGTTACACACAGGACCACACGACAGACAGCTATAGCTGTGATACCCACACATCATCAAGCCAGTCAACAGTCTAGCCTGGAGCAGTGAGAAGCTTATGAGGGTCCAGGGGAGGGTTATTAGGGAAGATGAGTTGAGTTGGTTTTCTTCAGAGATTTAGTAGCTTGCTCAGTAGATATCCCATGCTCAGGTAGATGGCTCTATACCCACACACATAAGGACATCTCTAATTGGACCCAGTGGTGCATGTCTTGAGGGACTTGGAGAGGCCAAGAGGAGTGTGGTGGGCTAGAAATACATCGTATAAATGTAATAATAAATAGATATATTTTTAAAAACACAATAAGGAAAGTACTTGGTTTTTGCAAATATATTTGAATGATGTAAAATAATTCAAGCAGAAAGTCAATAATCTATTAGTTTGGAAACCATTACATTTTTCTGAAGTTAGAAAGTAAAACAAAAACAAAAAAACCTTCTTGACTTGTTGTATTGATTTTGAGATATAATTGACTCATACTTATTCTAATTATGGCTACATTTACTTTGATTAAAGTGCTTTGGAAATTGTTAGTTTGATCCACAGCCTGGACCTAATGAAGGCTAACAAACTCCTGTGGACTGCATGACAATTTTATGTCACAGATGTCCCTTACATTGAACATGTTTCCACTCATGACTCAAGAAAATCCCCAATTCAGATGACAAATGCACTATGATCTATTTTCCTCCTCCCTCCCTCTTTACTGAGGAGTCATGAAAATTATGGAGACTCTTTGAAAGAGCCATGCTTATCCAACTAAGATAATTTGGGCAATTAAAGTGTGTCAAAATACATACACAATAAAAGAAGCCCTTTTGACTAGGAAATTTTATATGCATAGCTGTATTATGAAATGACTTATTCATTTCAAACGACTAATCACATTTGCATAAACTGTAAGTTTAAATATAGTTTTCCCCAAAGAACCAATTACTGACATTGCTAATATAACATTCATTAAACTTATTTCTTTAAAACATATTCAGTTTTCATCCTTGTAAACTGTCAAGGATACAAATATCATACTTTTCCTTGTGATAGTCTTAGAATTAAGCAATAAGTATGTAGATTGATATATCAGTTCCCTTTCAAAACTTACTGTAAATACCAGTTAACATCTCAATAATAATAAAATAATTTAAAGAAATTATATATAAATTTACATACAATGTCTATATATGTATTCATTACCTCTCAACTGAAATGTTTCCTTCTGGCTTGTTTGATTAAAATGATCCGAGCATTTTCAATAGTTTTAGTAAATAGCACAGTTTCATGTATCATGTGCAGATGATGCAAGAAACTGGATAAGAGTGGTGTATTTCCTGAGGTATGTCATTTGTTAACTCGTGGGCTCTTTTCCATGAACAGATTATCTGATGTCTCTCTGCTGCAGTGCACACATGTGCTTCAGACTTATCTACCATTGATTTGTACTGCCCCTATTTTTCCTTGTGGAAGATTCTGAAGCTCCACTAAGATCCCAATGTCCAGCAATAGCCTACTGACACGAGTTCTCATCCCAAGGGCCTCCCTCACGGGTTTTTTTTTTTTCCTTTTGATTGTTGTTGTTGTAGAGAACAAATTCTGGCTGACATTAGAAATAGCAAAGAATCATTTTCCGGCAAATTTCACCAAAATGGCCTCCTAGTGACTTACCTGCCTTTTAGGAATATATCCATGTTTCTAGAAGAGGATCAGAACCTCAGGTCAGAGTACTGAGCCACTCACATCTCCTTTATGACTTTATTTCAACCTTGCAGGTAGCTATAGATTACACTATCTTATCATATACCTGGTATTTATACTTTGTTTATAGAACTCTGTAAGTCTAAAAAAATTTCTCATCCTAATCTCTACTACAGTCAAAAATCCTTTAAAATTTATGTATGCATGTTTGTGTCTGATGTGGCATATATTTGTGGGGATAACTCAAATGTGTATGTGGGTACACATCTTTGAACTCCTGCAGGCCAGAGCCGGACAATGAATCTACTATTGGAGCAGTTTACTGGGAGCCAGCAAGCTTTTGAATTCAGCCTTTCCCACAATTCCAGGGTGACTGGTTCAGAACTACACTCAAATTTTTATGCTGGGGGTTTGAACTCAGGCTCTTATGGTTGTACAGCAAGTGGTCTTAATCTCTGAGCTATTTCCCAAGTTATAGCAAATAATTCTTTCTTAACAATAAATATCCCTGGTCAAAATGCTGTTTTCACTCTCTCTTCTGATTGAGGCAAAGCTAACAGAAATGCACAGAGCTGATGAGTCCATGATTACTTCCCATAGCCAATGCCTAAGCAGCAGCCATAAATTGAAAGACCTCAACAATGACTGATAATTGATTGAATCAGATTGGATTTTTATATATATATTTCCTATTGTGATGTTTGTTGATTTTTTTTGTCTTTTTTGCAAGTGGTGGCTGCACACACTTAGGTTCATGCAGTTACCCTAGGCTGATGCTCAGATCATACCTCACGGCTCCTCTACCTGATTCACTAAGGCAGCAGTCACTGTCAAATTCAAAGCTTAGCAATGTGACTACTCTTGCTATCCAGCTTGTTCTGAGGGCACTGGTCTTCACCTTCTGAGCCAACACACCTGTAAAATGTTTGTATGAAGTCTGGGGAGCTGCACCCTGGTAAGTCTTCAAGTTGGCATATGTTTTAACCCTCTCTCCACGAGCCATGTCCTTAGCCTTAGGGTTTTTTTTTTTAATTCTTTATAGAGAACATTAATATGAGACTTTTGCAGTCGCTAAGATTGCTAAATAAAATCTACTAATAGGAATTACTATGCTCCATAAAATTTATATATTTCTTTAAGGACACAAGAAAATTAAAAAGCTATAATTTACATTAAGGAGAAGAACATTACATTTTAATAACATTGCTAATCTTAGATGGCATATATTTAGAAGTGTTAATCTCATGTAAATTTCCTTGAAGTAAGACCCAGTTATACTAAATTAGAGTATTTATATTATGGTTAAATTAAACAATATAAATTCTTCTGATATTACTGCTTAGCATATAAAATCTCATCATGGTATTTAAGTGGTATGCTATTTATCTAAGCTCAAATTATGGAAGAAAAAATAGCAAAGAAAAAATGACTGTGTTCTGCACTTCCCTCAAATAAAGTTTCATAACCATTCACAGTATAAGTACACTTCTGGACAGAAAAATAACAGCTTCTCAAATCATGGAAAAGGGGGAATATTTTTCATTTTAAATGTACCTTTGGCATTCCATTAAGATTTAAGGATGCTAGAGAGAGGGTTTTAGAGACAGCACAGAATGGTAATCTCTTTTCGGAATGGATCATTTCACTGAAGGTGATAATGATCATTTATGGGGATGATTCCCCAGACCAAAAAGCAATGAGCTGTTGTTGGCTCTTCTATTAGATCCACTGCAGGATTAGTCTACAATCCATGATGTGTAGAGTGTGCTATGGCAGCTCTCCAATCCCTTAGTGAGGGACTAGCACCTGTACATGACCTTAGAACATAAAGATCATTGCTGTAGAAGCAATCTCAAAGAGGCATGCAGATTTTGATGCCCCTTTTTAATAAATGTTGCCTAATAATAAAAAGTATCCATTTTTCATTTCATTTGTTGAGGACTATGTCTCTTGATAGAAACACAGCTTCAAATGACTGCTGACTGCACTTCCACTTGGTTATGTTCAGAGTTTGTTTGTTTGTTTGTTTGTTTGTTTGTTTGTTTGTTT